ACACTTAAAACTTCACTATGTTAAGATGGTCATTTTGATTATGAAATGATGCCTTCTCTACTCTCAAATTACAAAAAGGCGGCCATTCTTGGCTCAATGTGCTTGCTCAGGGCACATGATTTTCGGACCCAATGATCAGTAATATCACGGTGTAGGAAGTGCTCATCAATAATGACAATATATTAACGACAACTATATTTTTATGAGAATATGATTTTTTTTCTGTCAATATGATTCAGTTTGAACACAATTTNCAGATTTTGGCCTCCGAAACGTTAAGATAAGTATTGTATTATTTCTTGGCAATTTTTATATGAGGAAAATTGTTAAATACTACAAGTTGCTGATAAATATAAAATTTTTATTTGTGAAAAATTCTTTGATTTTACGCAGTAACTTATCGGGGTAAACTAAAAAGTTTGCCTTTTTTACACTTATATAAAGTTCTACATTTTAATGTGGAAGGTATAATGGAAATGTATAAAATACCCAAAAAAAGTAAAACAAAACCTTTTTCATGTTGATCAACAACATTCTAAAATGTTCTGGAATGTTGTTGAATGTCGAATGCTGGAATGCTCTCGAACACTCCCGAATATTCTAGAACTTCATAGAGTCTAAACTTCCAGTGCTTACATCTCCAGAAACACGGCTATCAATACCTTCCTCATAGAGGGGGGATAAAGAGATTCCACACCAGAATTTTCCCAAACGTCCCATACTATTCTTGAACATTACAGAATGTTCTGGTCATTTTTCGATATAGAATTGAATATTATATTATTCTTAAGAACGCTACACAATATACTACATCATCCTCACTAGCAGACTTCGAAGTTTCGGAAAGAGACACTTTATCATCCTATTACCTCATCAGCATCATCGATATCATTACAAGATGAGGCACTCAATTTATCAATAACATCACGGCTTCATGTCACGGATGAGATGAATCTACTTTTGTCACGATGACATTATGCTTAATTGATTCAATCCCAGTCATAGGAGTCTTGTTTGAATTGAAAGGGACATATTTTTAGGAGGGATTTCATCCAGTTTATACCTGAAAGTATATAACTTCCTAGCACGAACTACATTTATTTGTCTTTTGAACTTTATTGCTTCATTTCCAAAAAATCACTTTGATTATTTTCGCTTATTCTCCCCAACTACATCCATTGTTTGGAACAAAAAAAATCCCTAATTCACTTTTCTCATTTAAAATAATATTTCTACCATTCTTATCAAATTTTAATTTTTTTTCTTTTTCTCTTAGCATTATCAATTTTTTTCTCAGATTATAAATATAAGTATCTCAATAAGTTGTAGGTTTGATAAATAAAATTACTCTCACTTGGTTTTTACATGAACATTTTCCAGGACCTTCCTTAATACCCTAACTCCGACCAAGTGAGTTGTGGGTCCAAACTACCTTGAATCAAGAACATCACAAAGCTTGCATAAACTTCGACAGGAAGCGAGTCGTGGACGGAAGGCTAAAGCTTATATATTGCTGGGGGAAAGCTACCCGTTAACATCAGCGGGGGCACCACCCACTATCCCTTAAAGGCTGTGTGGTGGTGCTTACCAAGCAGCATCTCTCTACTACCCAACTTACCCACTACCCTACCTTCATCGTCTACCCCTTCCCCGAACCCCTCCTTTTCCCTCCCTATCCCCTTCTTCTCCCTTACAGGAAACAAATAACTGTATTGACTATGATTGTTTTGACTCTATGCTATTTTAGTATTGTGAACAAAATAGTCGCAATAAATATTTTGTATTTTGATTTTGTATCGTCTTGCTCTAATAGTCTTGTCTCGTCTATACCATAGAAGTGCCGTATGTGGTGACAAAACACTTTTAAGGCTGCGTCTATGGATATAGTCTAAGACCACATATGCTGGACATGTTGACGGTAAATGCATTGGGATTTCAGGCGCCTTGAGGCAGGTCCTACATGTATCGTCTGGAACCTATATACCCATCATGATGCGACTAGAGTAGACTAGGACTAAGGTGTTGAAGACACCTTGCAGGTGACCCCCTCAGTTCCAGACTTCACCCACTCGACCCGAGGAAAGCAAAGGCAAAAGCAAAAATTTTTTTTATTAAAATAAACTATCTACATACCTACATTTTTCATGACTACCTCTACCTTAAGGGTAGAGGCGCGCCCTCGCATCCCCGCCGAGAGAAGGCGGTGGGGAACGCCCCCCGCGATGTTAGCTGGTTGATGATCACCCAGAAACATTGACTTTATTAAAACGACTAGATAATGACGCCAAGGCTTATGCACATCATTACATGGTTTTGATATTCAGGTCATTTACAAATGGTCATTTACATGTCGCTCATGGAAAATATCGAGTGATTCGTAAATCAACAACCCAACTCACTCAGTTTGGAATTTCGTGCAATGAGAGGGTAGTTTCGTTTAATCGCCGCTCCCGCTCTCTGAATTGCCAGACTCAAGTGCTCATGAAAATTCAAGCGCTTGTCCAGGATAATTACCAGATACTTCACACTTTTCTGTTCTGCCACACACTTTTCTTGAATCGTCAATTTCCTGAAGATCTTCACGTCGGGGAATTTCTTCATGAAATTGACAAGTTCAGTCTTTGACGGATTTATCCTCATCTTATTCCTCTCCATGTACGGTACAACTAACCGATCCAGGCGTGTTGCCACCTCACTAGAGTAAGAATGGGCATATATGGCAGTATCATCTACATATATGCCTACATTCGTTATTGCGATCATTGGAAAGTCATATGTATACAGAGAGTATAGGTGTGGGGATAAACAGGACCCCTGCGGAACACCTGCTTCCATTGAAAAACCGTAGAGATTGCTTGGTTACTCTTATCCTAAATTTCCGGTTGACCAGATAAAAATCCAAGATTCTTATCATGTATAAAGGCATGTGTGCCGTCCACATTTTCGCGATGAATTCCTCAGTCCAAATGGTGTCAAAAGCTGTATGTATGTCCAACAGGACCATGACTGTATTCTTCTTCTGGTGAAAGGCCTCCTTTATTCAGTGGATCAGTCGGACAAGTTGCGAGGTCGTGTTACGACTCTGCCTTTTCTCCAGACGGAGAAGTCTGCTCAATAGGATTCCGTCCGCAATCTTGGCGACCGAGCTAAGTAGCGAAATCGGTCAGTAGCTCTCTTTTTGGTTCTTCGGTTTTCCCGACTTATGAATGGGTATTACCTCCGCGCGCTTCAGGCAGTCTGGGTAATGTTGCAATCTGATCATCCCGTTGATGATACGTACCATTTGTACGAGACCTTCGCGCGGCAGATTCCGGAGTAGAACTGCTCCAATGCCACCGCAGCCAGGTGTCTTGTGTAGTGGCATGCGTTTTAAAGTGTCTCTCACCTCATCAAAGTCGGTGAGGATTTTAGCAAGATCTTCACCGTTTAGGCGTGGCGGAGGCATTGAACGCACCTTTCTCGCCGTCTCGGTGATGTTTCTGTGCTCTTCGGTGCTGTCTGGCGTTGTTCGGTGAACATTATGGAAATATTCGCCGAATACTCTGGCCTTCTGAACCCCAGGAAAGCGAGAGCCCCCCGAGGAAAGCGAGGCTCATGTGTTTTGATCTTAAATCTTATTATCAATATTAAGACCCTTCAAACGAGCTATTATTTGACCGCTGATCCCATTTGATATCTAAGTGTTCAATTACAACCCAACGGGGGGGTTTCCCCATTGAAATTAAAATCGACCGAACTGAGCGATTTGTTTTTGAAATGGTATAAATATGGAATTTCAACTTTTTCGAAATATTGTTAATAGATGAAACGCAAATATTTTAAAATTGTCAGTCATTTCTTCCAAATTTTAGTAGTGCCGTGGTACCAGTATGAGTTTTATACGACGAGTATAAATGCTTATGTGAAAACTAATACTGTTAGCTTGTTTCTACGGAAGAATCAGCTGAGCATGCATTTCTCTTCACTATAGGAACATATAGGAATTTGTTGCGTCCAATATATTACAGGTATTCTTGTTAATAGATATTATTTTCCAACACAGTCTCCTTTCAACTCTACACACTTTTCCCAGAGATAATATCTCTGGAAATAGTACTACTAATAGTTCATGTATCAAATACATAAACACGAGACAAGACCTTATGCTAATTTTCATATATATAGACTTCAGACTGGTATCAAAAAATTGTTCTACAAGGGACTACGGGAATTAAGCAATTCACCAAATGCAATGAAAGAAGCATTCACTGTGAGACGGTTTCAAAAAGAATCATTGAAATATCAACAGCGTTAGTTGATTGAAAAATATGTAAACATTGGTTCTCATAAATTATCTATTTTTTATTATTATATTTTTATCTATTATATCTTTATTATTGCTATTATCTATATATCAATTTGAATGTTGATAATACTTTTGGCACGGTGTGGGAATTTGAATTTGAATTGTTGTTTGTTATTATATCTTGAAAGATTGGGATATATCATATAATATAGATTACTACTACTACTACCCTCGTATAATGTGCATGCAATGCTTGTGGTAATTGACTCATTCAATTTGATAAGAACTAGTATCATCTCCATCCAAATAGCTTTCCATTCATCACAATATATGTGACCATATTCTGCAACATTGAAATGGCTCACATAAAGAATTTATTGACAAGACTATTCAATTATTCAATCCTGTATTCGTCTCATTTTTTTTTCAAGTAATCATGTGTATGAACGTGGCAAAATACAAACTACAGCTGATAAAATTCAACTTAATACTCGTACACTTAGAACTAAATTTTCAAGAACTCTTTTATTTGGAGGACAAACGGTGAAGTCCAACAACGATGCCATCATAAATATCGAAATAATACTTTCCATACTCCCGACGTAGAAGATTCATATATTTGTGTAATGATACTAATCATTTAACAATTTATCCTCAGGAATGGAAGTCACTGAATCCAAAATACCTGGAAAGGGGTTGGTGAAACTGATAGACATTCATTCATAACATGTATTTATTTGAGCTTTCATCGCGATCAAATACAACAAAATATTAAATAAAGTTAAATTTTTCAAAACATAAAAAGAGCTCCGCCGTGAATATCAGCTAGTTGCGTATACATTTTTTGTATTATTCAGTATAGTATAATAATAATTATTGATAAATAGTCATTCAAAAACTTTTATGGAAGATGAGATATTTACGATATACGTATACTTAGTGTTTGTAATTTCTCTGAAACTTGCAGGTTTTCAACTCAACAAATAGTTACGAGAAAATCGATCATTGTTTTTTCCACAACTACAATTTTAGTACTATTACAGTACTTACCAAAACTCATGGCTTTTACGTACCAACAACTATATTTTTACATCTAAAACGATTAGGGACTGGAATATTATTATCGTAACCTAATCAGAAACTAAAATCTTAGTACGTATTACTTTGACACTTTAAACTATCGAATATTTTGATTTTTAGTATCTGATTCGATTTGCTCTGCCCTAAGAAGAAAAGTATACATCCTTAAAATACTGACTTATTTTCACAATATTTACATATTTTTGTGACTCAAAATTCGTATAACAATTACAATCACTTGAGATTTCTGTTACTTCGCAATAAATATACATAGTTAGTTGTATCACGAACTCCTACCTTTTATTACTATTGGTTGTATTACGATATGATAACATCACAAAATACCGCTTTGAGCGATCATGTCTTCAAGACTATATTTCAATTTTACAAAATAGGAATGTATCTCGCATTGAACACTATTTACACATATTTACTAGATAATTGTTTGGCTAGTTCCGTGTATTTGAGAAATTTTGAGTGAGGGCTCTCCTCGAATCCCCCACCTGCTCCTGGAGCCGGAGGACTCTTGACCCCCGTAGTAACAGAGGCGCTGGAAACGCTGGGTGGCAAAATGGTACTGCTCTTCAAAGGTACACCCGCACTGGACGAATTCGGTTGAGGGTGATTCTTCAAGGCCACCGGGTCGGGTATAACCCCATCTTTAACGAAATGCATTTTGGACAAGTGGTGTCTGTACGCCCCTTTGGAAATGAAAGGAGTATCGCAAAATGCACACTTCATAATGGAGTCAGATGTCATCACAGCATCATTACAGGCCCAACTGAATGCCAAAATTGCCCCCGGGGTGGTCCCACCAGATGACGTGGAACTACTTGCTGTTACAGGGTTCACCACAGTAGAAACAGCATGATTTCGATTGTTGGTGTGGGTTTCAGTCTTATCGCAAAGTTTCTGCAAGGCCGCTAAAGGGTGGCTGGACCCACGCTTACTTGCTGTTTGATTCGACTCGGGGTTTGCGTTTGTGCCGGAAAGGCTATCAAACATTGAGCTAAGGGCACCCAAACTTCCACTGGCTCCTTTTCGATCGCCGTTCGTACTCCTAGGAGTACCGGATCGATCACTACTTGCAGGACTGCTCGTGGAATTTCGACAAGGACTATTGGGATGTCCTCCTTCGGACTGTTGTCGAGGACTGGTCAAAGGACTTCTTCCTTTATTTTCGTCTTCCTTGGAAACATCGCCGTTGCTTTGAAAACTGTTTCTTTCATCGTCGTCGTTTTCCTCAACCTCTCGCTTGACTTTAAACTCATGATTCTCACCAGTGGGACCTTCTTCATCCTTAATCTCTTTCTTTAAGACAAAGTTCTCGTTTTTAATTTCATTAGCACCGAGCTTATCCATGAAGGGTGACTTCTCCCTCTTGATGTCGGGTGTTGACCTCGGCGTACTCGTAATGGGTACACCAGGAGGTTCCATTTTGCGTTCCGGAGTTAGCGATTCAACTCTACTGCTACCCCTTTCTGACATGGAACTCGATTCGCTCCCACTCCTCTCCCTCCTCGCGTAGTGGTGTTGTTGTTGTTGATGATAGTTTCTCAATAAATTCATGGTTTGAGCATCGACTAGAGGTTTAGTATAGTCGACACTTTCATCGATCCCGAGCCGTTTGAGGATACTGCTTCCCATTGGAGCCTGAGCGGGACCGTGTCCTGGAAACCCACCGGTTTGTCGAGTCCGAGAATCAAAACTCTTCTCTATCAGTTTCTCGATGGCGTTCAGCACAGATGGGGAAGATCCATTATTGTTTTCGGATGTTCCAGTGGCTTCTTTGGAACTCATGTCATTCACAGGCGATTGTTGTTGGGGTGAAGGTGATTTGTCGTTGGGGGTTTTCATTTTTTCTCTATTGGGACTCTCCGGAGGTAGAATGTTGCTAGACATCAAAGCACTCTTGAGAAAATTCCTCTGGTTACTCGTCATACCACCGACACATTGCCGAATGTGATCGACAAATTGGGATGTTTCAATCTTATTGCCACATTTTTCGCAAGTTATCCTTCCAGCACCTGTTGGATCTCTCATTTTCTCGAGTAACCCACCACTATCGCCATTTTTAAAATCATGTTGGGCTCTTTCAAGCTCGAGTAACTTTCTGACTGGAAGCGACTTCTTCCTTTTCTCTCTAGTTTGCCTTCTTCTACCACCACTTTCAGTAATTGACCTCATAATATGTTCTTTATAGTGAGAATTTTTAACCATATGGTTGCTCAATTCTTTCAACGAACTGAATGCTTGATCACAAACTTTGCAGGTTAGTACTGCACTTACGTGACTACTTGCTCCCCCTGGTGGAGGATTTGGTCCTGGAGGTCCTGATCCCCCACCACCCTTCGGATCATCACTTGACCTCCAAGAAATGATTTGTTCTTGGGAAATTATATTAGTGTAATGCTGAGTTTGCTGCATGTGGCTCGTCATCTCAGCTAGCGACCTGAAGCTTTGTCCGCACCACATACACTTGAGGATTTGTCTGGTTTGCTCGGCACCCTTTCCCAACCAAACATCCTGCCCTCTAACTAGCTTTCTAGGCAACGGCATAGTTTCCTTAATGAGCATATTGAGATCCGACGGATTTGGTTTGGTTGAGTTCGAAGATGAGGTACTAGTGTTCGTGTTGGAAGGCGAAGTGATTTGCGGTTGAGGAATTAGATTGCTTGATTGCATAGGAGGGACGGGAACGTTCACGCCACAATGCTTTGCTTCCTTCATGTGTGTTGTCATCGCGGCCAAGCTAGGGAAGCTTTGTTTGCACCAAACACATTTAAGGACGTCTTTTGCCTGTTCAGCACCCTTGTTCAACCAGTGCGACTGCCAGGCACTATGTCTGTTACTGGCAGAATTTCCAGGAGCAGCATTCGCCATAGTTCTGAAAAGATCATCACCTCCTAACTTACTGAGTTCACTCATTTTCTCTAAAGCTTTAGTGGCATCGCTAGGCGCAGGGGCGATGTGTTTGATTTTTCCATTCCAAAGTTCAGCAGAGTTGTTCTTAGGCGACAAACCTGCAGCTGCTACAGCAGCTGCGAAATACGGCAGATGAGATGCACCAATTGGAGGTGGCCATTGCGGAAGTGCCGGTTTGAAGTCCGTTCTGGGTTTACGTTGGGGAGGTTGCGTGAGTACCTCCTCTGAGGAACGTTTACGACTGCTAACTGACAAGTCGAGAGGTGTACTGCCACCTTCCCCACTTGGGGGAGATTCAGGTTTGCTGAAATTCATTGCATCTGAATCGCTATCTCCTTCATCGCTCTTATTGTGACTTCTTCTGCTGAAATCCAGTATTCCTTCAGCAGATGGGGAATGTAGGGGTTGTTCCACTGGCGAATGGTTGAAACCTCCGGGAGGGGATGAAGATGATGAAATAAGCGGTGAAATTGAGGCTCTAGGAAAATTCGGAGGTAGTGGAGACGTCATCATGAGTCGATGAGATTGTTGGGCTACAGCAGCAGCAGCGTTGAGGTAAGCTGCCATTGCTGCAGATTGTGGCGGCAAAAAAGCCGCTGCGGCTGCTGCCGGTAATGTCGGAGGTAGAGCGACTCCCACTGGACTCAAAGATGTACCGAGGGGAATTCCACGAAGTAGGGCTGCTCTTTCGGACATCATACTTTCTCTCGACGGAGATCGAGGATGAACAGGAGATTCTAGGGACTCGCGTGAGTTGCAGCGAGACTGGGGATTCCTGAAACAAAAAAAAGTTATCAATTTCAAATATTTCACATACATATTTTTTTGAAAAATCAAGTATTACTCGACCATATAACAGTTATCATTCCCTAGTATGGGTTTTGCTTTTGGGTATAAAGTTTCTTAACATAGTTGCAGGGCTTGCCAAATTATAAGGTCTCAGCCTATATCCAACGATATAACGCAGCCCTAAGCACCACCTACGGCACTTTTAAGGTATTGACGAGATAACACTGTTACTCTAAGAGGGATATTTAATTCGTTGTGATGAATGGGGGGTGCCAAATTCGTCGGAACCATTCACTCCCCACCCTCACACTCATGTAAACTAATAAATCTGATGTAGTTCTTCTTGGCCAACAGAACAACACAATATTCGTGATGAGTTTCAGCTCCGGATGAGAGGAATGTCGTCCGAAAAGAGGAGAAAACACTTAAAACTCCACTATGTTAAGATGGTTATTTTGATTATGAAATGATGCCTTCTCTGCTCTCAAATTACAGAAGGCTGTCATTCTTGCCTCAATGTCCTTCCTTGCTTAGGGCACATGATTTTCGGACCCAATGATCACTAATATCACGGTGTGGGAAGTGCTCGCAAATTGATGGTGGTGACGCACCTTCCGAATGTATAGAGGTTTCGAAGACAGGGCTTTACCAGATAATAGTAGTAATAATGACAATATATTAACGACAACTATATTTTTATGAGAATATGATTTTTTTTCTTTCAATATGATTCAGTTTGAACACTATTTATAAAATGTAGTGGTACTGAGAATAAAAATGTACGATAAAATGTTTTCGAAGATAATTAAAAAAACTCTTGTGAACTGTGTCACGAATTGCAATGATTTTTAATGAAAAATTAAATTGTCTCAAAGCTATGTGATTGGTATTTCATGTCAATCATAAGCATTTTCTCCTGAACTTATTCATTATTTGGAAGTTCTGCAAGAATTTGATGAATTTTGAAATATTTTGTTATCAATTAATGGTTGTTGAAAACCTGTAATTCATTTTTTTTTTTAATAATATGCAAATAATGAGCATTCGTGTCTGAACTTATTCATAATTTGAAAGTTCTGTAAGATTTCGAAGGGTTTTTGAAATGTTGTTAATTAATAATTTAGGTGACTCATTACATTCAATAAACAACTTCAAAAATACATTTCTCAAATCATAAATAATTGTTGAAAATCTATAATCAAATTTGCAATTTTGAAGAATACTAAAATTCCAGTTGAAACACAATTTCTCTTTTCAATTGGTATGAAATGTATAGAAATCCGAATTTTTCGTTTATAAAACAAATCAATACCTACCCACAAATATTTGGATCGCCGCAAGGTGATCTTGGACTAGTTGGGCTCAAAACATCCCCAGGAGGAGGTGACGAGGCTTCATCTTCATTCGGAGCTGGTGAAGCGGCAGAAGTCGGCGTCATAGATTCAATATCCTCGTCACCTTCAAGTTTTTCACCTTCTTCAGGGGAACCTTCCTCTCCACCTTCCCCTGTAACAAAAGAATAACATAAAGTATAACATAGAATTGAACTCGTTGAAAATAGATTCATAGTAAGTGATAATCATATACTCGTATTTGAGGAGCTCTTTCAATGAAGCAGACTTTCGGATAAGTGATCGGCCAGCAAATTATTCCAGGACTTGGAATATTGAAAGCTTTGAATTGGGAGCAGTATAGCATATGTGGTTAAATTACAAGTTGTATCATCATTTACTTTCTGGATAGAGAGGTTGATCTCTATCCAAAGAAGTGAATATCAGACCTTGAGGTTATTTCTTATACCTTCTTTCATTGCTGAAACATCTCAGTTGAAAGTTTGCCCATGAAAATAAAATGTGATCATTTTTGCTTCAGTTCATCCGTTCTTCAATAAATTTCATAATGACAGTGCTTTTATCCATTTTCTGAAAGACGATTTAGGATAGGTATCAACTGAGTGTGAATTAACTATAAACAGCTTGTCAAATGAAGAAAAAACTCTCAAAATTTCTACATGGACCTGTCTACTAAATGCGCGTTAGTAGACGATGAGAGCATTCCGGTACAATAATAATCTCGTTTTAAGTTTCAACAGGACACACAGGGTAAGCGATCACAAATTTTATTCACTGAATGAAAGGAAAAGCGAATGATGGTTGTTATTTAAACTCAAAAAAAATGAGGCCAGAAGCTAGTGGTGTGAGTCCAAATACCACTGGAAGAATGTATAGTGAAATGGAAGAAATCGAAGATGAAGAATAAACAGAAATTTCACAGTGGTTTTTCTACCACTTCTCCATAAGAATTGTAAACAAAGATGGCTGCAGTTGATTTGATTGTACTTTTGATGTTGATCAATGTAGAAAATTTAAATTTTTTCCTTCATTTATAAAATTTTGTTTGTGTCATATTCCAGTTGAATAAACCAAACATAAACTGCTTCATACAAACTCATCAAAATGTGATTATGAAGATATTAATTTGACCCACTTGATATGTAATCATTTTTCAAGTCTTCGTTCAAGCAAGTATAATAGTTAAGATAATTGGGTATCGAGTATTTATGAAAAAAATCTTAAAAATAGTCAATGAATAAAACTTCTTTGATTCTGTATTTGTCGAGTAATTTGATATAATTCGCCTTATTAATAATACTTTGATATTCCGACGTCTATTTGCGAATAATATATCTTGAAAATGAAAATACAAAATTACAAAATTCATTCAATATTTGTTACAGAGACGAGTGCTAGTTTCCATTCGTTTTCATCCTATTGCGTACTTTTAACGCGCAGGTTGTGAGAATTCTGAAGCTTCTTCTAAATTTGACAAGCTGCACATAAAAACATTCATTCTGATATATATTCATACACACAAGAAAACTCATCGTCATTAAGAAATGTTTTGATACTGCAACAACAGTTCTCCTGCAAATTTCTTTTCAAATTCAATTTGTACAGATTTTGGTTTCAAAGTTCTCTCAAGTTTGTAGGAAAATGAAAGAAGTATTATGTACCTCTATATGAAAGGTTTTCATCTTGAAATGATGTGCGATGGTGACGTCTACATTTCTAGTGGGTTTTGATTGGATATAAACCGTATATTTGTTGTATTTATAATTTTTGCCGATAAATAAAATGAATGATTGAATTTTTCGTATATACTCAGCTTATTGGTGTGTTAAGAATCAGACGTTAAAAGGTAAGACCTCGTTAGTCCTCAGCTCGCACAAGTTTCTCAACTTTTGAGAGTTGTCATTCGTATGGGGCCAAAGCTGATTAACGGAAAAAACATGCCTCGATTGGAACAATGTGTTTTGCTTTTCAATTTTTTTGCGATTTTAAGAAAGCCAGAGGTATCAAAAATATGTTCGATGTTCTTTAAAAGCGTGTTTTTTTAGTTTTTAAACTATATTTTTCAATTCCATAAATATCAAGACATTACATAATATAGACAGAAAAAGTAAACGATAATGATATTCAGAACAAAACCAGATTAAGACAATATGTGGAATAACTGGGTACAACCCAATATTTATAAATAAGATAAGCTGAGTTCGAACAAATAAATCATTACTTCACTTTCACCGAAGTAAGGCATTTATCTGAAGTTGAAACATAATTCAAAATAAACCAAAGGAGGCCTTTTTGTGAGATAAAGCTTTAATCAAACCTGGGACGTTAATAAAGTTACCCAATGGTAACATTAAATCATTCAAGAAGTGACATCTGCTGTTTGCCTTGAACTATCACGTTTTCGTCGACCATATACCAGGTGTTGCCGACTTATAATTGATAGCCACACCAGATATTCTGTGTGATTGTGTTTCATTCCAAACGGAACGATAGAAAAAGCCCACTTCATGATTAATAGTGTTGTCAATTATTCAGAATTCCGGAATGTGGGTAATAACTGAAGCAATGGCGATGATTTTTGAAAACAACATTGACTCAATCAACATTCCCGTTGCTATGACGATGACGGAGTGTGATGACATTAATATTTATGGTGCTAATCAACTATTGACGGATACAGAGACACAGCTTCTTTCAACGGAATATCTCAGGAATACGGAAATGTATAATGAATATAATTGATTTTATGTATGAACTGCTGACTAATTTGAATATTCATGAAAATTTATTGGAAACATAAAAAGATGAAATATTTTAAAATCTTCACGACAAAACCTTGGAGACTGAAGTATTATTTTTAGAGTCGTCAAAATGAAGAGTTCCTTCTCTATATGAGTTCACAATATACAGTAAATAATTGGTGAGATTCAAATTTCCGAAAAAAAGAACTCTCAGTACTCAGTTAATATCGTTGATCTGCTTGATACTTAATTATTGCAATAATAGTTTCGGAGACGTTGCAATGAGTTGCGAATGAATGATACTTCATTTCATAGTGAGAAAACTTTGAGAAAAAATAAGAGAAAGTTTCTTGAGACTGCAATTTCTATTTGTCAAAACTTATTTACATGAATTCAACTCATATTCGAAATGAAATCATGAAACATTGTTCTAGAACAAACATTATTTCCTTTTTTTTCAAAAAATTTCAATTCTTATCGTTCAAATATATAATAATTGAAACATACAATGAACATTTTTAAATTGCAGCATTAAAATATTCTAAAAAGATGCAAGAGATGAAAACTGAAGCTACAATAACAAAAAAAAATACAAATTCAGAAAAAATGTTTGATATTTCTGCAAGTGTAATTTTTATGTCTTATTTTATTATTGTTATGGTTTTTCTATTTCTTATCTTATTATCAAAACTCTTTCTGAAACAATATTTGCAGATGATATTTTCAAAATGCAACTTCCAACCATTTTTTCAAAAGAGGGGTCAGACTATGCCTTGAATTTCAGGAAAATATAATATTTCCGAAATGACCGTTTTTGGTGCACTAAAAATATTAAAAAAATTATATATTTGGTGAAGGTTTCGTAGCTTGGTAGTCTAATATATTTAATAACTCAACAGAAAATAAATTCAAATTACATATAAAAATACAGCCGCTGTCTGGATTTATCACGTTTTTCATAATACTGATTATGCAACAAGTGAATTTCATAATCTGAATGCTGAATATCTGAGAAAAGTTAAAAGACTTCTAGAGAATTTTAGTAAACGAAAAACTAAAATGTTTTATTATACTTTCAATAAATCTGTAAATGGTGGAACCTTACTTTGACTTTGACATCGAATAAATATCTTTTCAGATTTGTCGGCACTTTTCAGGTATAGATAGTTCTTTCTGTACTAAGAAATTATTGTCCTGCAAAAACAGATGCAGTTGGTCTATCCAACGTTCCTCCCATATTATTATAAATTGAACTAGTATGTCAAGCACAGGCATTTTGTTGCTAAATTTTGTGAATAAATTCTGTTTTCTCTTTAGTATTTATATTTTATATTGCCCCTTTTATTTGTATTGCATTGTGATCATTATCGTAATCATAGTATTTCCCTTTTTCTGGAAAATATACTATAATTTTCAAAATATTGTTTTTGCGCAAATATGTTTGTGTATAATAATTAAGGAAAAAATCCTTCACTTATTTTCTCGGGAGTTTATCAAATTATTGTATTCCCAAACTATTTGCTTACAAAATCGAATATTATGGATTTCAATACATTTTTTACAATTTATGCACTCCAATATATCCAAGAGTGCTCAACATTTAATGAGTGTATAATATTCGATGAAATTTCTATTCAGGGGATTTTATTATAAAATTAAAATTATGGAGTTGCACGCATTATGTTCGATTAAGCTTTATGTACAAGGAATATATGTTATTCTCAGAAGAAGAACATCATAAATAATACAAACTTGAAAATATTTAGTTTCAGAATCGAAAAACTTCAGGTTTTTTGTGAAATATAAGCATCCTACTAATTGGGGCACCAATTCATATTATTATAAACGAAAGCATTCGTTTTAAGGCATAATTTAGAAAAATCTGGGATTGCAAATTTTCATCTAGTGAGATTGGTATACGAGGGATATACGATAAGCTTACTTCCAGGCAAAGTGAACCATAATATATTATTAAACTCAAAAACATTCAAAATTTAGGATTCACGTAAAATAGTGATCGGTTAAACAAATCTAGGCCACTTAATCGATGTAAAACTTTGTGATGAAGAGTAATCATCTCAGACTTGAATTCGAGTAGGTTTGAATATTTCTAACAATCGATTAGATGGAACAAGTAATTCCATACCATTACCATAAAAGCCGCCAGAAATATATCGAAGACAGCGCCTAATCTTCGAAGACAACTCAGTTCCGCGACACCATTCTGGAAATCGTTCCAGAAAACAAGCTAACCAACGCGATACCCGAATTTTAACTAAATTCCTTTTTTACGGAAATACCTCATAACTCAGTTTGTTTACCTTCTCGCCCCCACTCCTCCGCGCTGGTGCATGTGTGCTAACTTGGGGGCCCTCCGCCGATGGTGATAGTCCATCGGGAGGGCGTGCACGTA